TGATGTTGTGCTGCTCTAGACGGCGAGACGGCGACACGAGTCGACAATCGGATCATCTTCAACATCAGGCCGAACATCATCATTGTCTTGTCATATTCATCAGTACCGTCAAAAGAACAGCTGTCACCGTCACCATCACCATCGCCATACAACCCTCATAATTAAGCATTGTAATTCATGTTTGATGCGGGAAACTGCTGCGCAGATTGCCGCTTTCTGCACGGAGCAGGGGTTGGGTACCATAGGGGGTGGGGGGAAGTGCGGCACCCGCAATGCACGCAGCAGCAGAACCGGGCGACACCCCCAATCCGCACAGCAGCAAGGCGACGGGGTGGCGGGTGGGGTGTGGTGGCCCGGGGCCCGAGAGTACATATATATATGTATATATACACATACGTACGTATGCACGTGTATATATATATATATATATATATATATTTATTTATTTATTTATTTATATTATATATATATATAGATGGTAGGCCCCCCCCCCATGTACCTACCGTTTCTGGTCCTTTCTTGTGTTCAGGTCACTTGGTTGCAGATCTGCACGGCCACAGTTGCTTCGGCTTGCAAGGGTCAGATTGTCGCAGCAAACAACCAAACCCAAAAAAAACAACAAACCACAAAATTCAAAACAACCAAAACTCCAGAACTTTCTGAATTATAGATTCTCCCAGAAGAAACGTGTGTTTTTTTGTTGTTTGTTTTGTTTCGTTTGTTGTTTTTTAGTTGTTGGTTTTGAACTTTTTGGTTTATTACTTTTGATTTTTGGGTTTTTATGTGTTTGTAGTTCTCGCTTTCTATGCCTGTGATCAGTTGCTTTGTATGACGCGCGTGTGAACCGGGAGCATCGTTAATATGCGCAGATTTTCGCACTCAAGACAGTTTTGTAGTGTTTCCTGCTTACTACTCCCGACACTGATGTCGCTGGCAAACAAGGCGCATTCTTCTCCTAGTACGGTGTGATTCCGTCTGATGTAGCGGCATATATGCTGACAGGAGATTCCAACCCATCCATCCTCCTGGCCGCGTCTGATCGGTACACTTCCCGATGGCTCATTGCTTAATATAACGTTTGTTCTTTTTTTTTTGCGTTTTGCTTTTGTAGCGCATGATACTGATATATCCGTGCACTCAGGAACTCCTGTGGAAGCACACAAGGGATTGGTATACAAAGTTAGTCATATGGAAGTGCTGTTGACTCACGAGGAGGAATGGAAGTACATCTTCACTAGGTTTAAACGTTCGCGACAGATGTGATGCAAGTGCCAAACCCGACTGCGCCAACGAGCTGGCCACTGGTTCTTCGTACCTTCCCAGACGGTTCCTTGCATTGTATTCCTGTTTAACAATTTTATATAATTCTTTTTAGCCTCATTTGCGATTTTGAGCCTCACGAGAGGCTCTTCACTGGAATACCATCATGGGCAGTATTACATGTTCACGACCAGTGAGCATAAGATTAGCACAGCCGTTTAGCACTTCTGTTGCTGTGTGACGATGTTCCTCAAGGGAACAAGCCCAAACGGGCACGCACAGCATAGTGTTGTTGCATCTTGAAAGTTTTCCATGCAACAAGCCTTTCTGAAAAGACCCAGTGCGGATGTTAATTGCGTGTGTTCGAAAATACAGTTGCGATGCAAAATCTGCACCCTGACCGAAGTCATATGCATACAGAAGCATCTCTGTCATGACGGGTCGGCTCGTAGTCTATTTCGTACCACGTCAATCTTTTTGATTCCTTCGCAATCATGGCCAGCTTTGCTTCTGACCAGGGGGAACACGACGGCTCTCTCACATTCGATGAAGCCTGTGTGCAATGCACACGAGAGAAGCTCCTTGGACCAGAAGCTCGCCCCTTCAAGTCAGACCGCACGGCAAGCGATGTTCACATCGAGGATCTGCCGATTAGGCAGCTTGACTCCAGTTTTACCAAAGTGGAGCAGTTTGCAGACGTTCTCATGTATCATCCTCTCGACATGCCACAGCATATGTTCGACAACATATACAAGATTTGTGCGGAAAGTCGTCTTGGTGAGTTGCCAGAACCCTTCTCTTTGAGGAAGATACCTAACGTCCCGTATATAGCATCCAAGTCGTCATCCTCTCATGTCAGCCACCAACAGGAGGAGACCCCACTGGCTCATACTATCACATCTTCAAGCATGTCTACCTCCACAAGAACAAGATTGGAGCAAAGGAATGCATGTACATGTGCGACGGCAACGCTGTCAAATTCGAGTCGGGCAGTCAGACACGCGTGGCTCTGCTTGGACTCAGCTACATGATGGACCGCATGGGGGGGTAAACAAATCCGATACTGGACAATCAAGCCTAACTTCGAAAAGAAAATCACCGTTGACCAGCATTCCCGTGAAGCGGGAGACCGGTTTATCCGAGAGTGTGGGCCGTGCGTGAACAGCCGTAATCAGTTCATGGAATGGACCGACGAGCAGGTGCGCGCCCCCGGTGGCAAACTAGAGGGATGGCATGAGGCTAAAGTCAAGGAGGCTCTTGGCAACTAATGAAGGGGCGGCAAAACGCCAGAACCCTGGAATACTGGCCTTTCACGCTCAAAAGCTTCGCTGGATGGTTTCTGGACCTTGTCTTGGCCAAAATGCTTCCCGCCATGCGCCAACACTCGATCACCTGGCTAGGGCGCACCAGGACAGGAAAGTCTCTCGGCTCCAAGACAGTTCTGTTCGCGCAAACCAGATACGAGATCGATCGCGACGGCCGCACAGACCTCAGGCCCTCGATTGTGACCGCCAAACACCTCGACTTCTTTAAGGCCGAACCGTTGACAAAGTATAAGCCAGGCGTTTTTGATGACGGGATGTTGTAGAAGATGGATGCATCATTCCTGAAAGCCTTCCTGAATCCGTCGGAAACTTCGTCTTAACTTGAGAAATGAATGAAAGCCGATATGTGATGAGGCGTTGATCTAAGTTTGGTGTTTTACATGGTGAACATATATGTTATTATAAACAAACCAGCTACTGTATCAATCCTAGAACTCTTAAAAGTTTTTTAATCCAGGAAACGAAGCTTTAGCTTGAGAATTTGACACACTTCGATCAACAGGGAATGATATATTAGGCCTGGTATGAATACAGTTTTGGCTAGTATCATCTACCGCGATTTCTCCCAAATCAGCTGCTGTATCCATCCTAGGAAGAGGATGCTACCGTATGGGCGAGGTACACATCTGCCCATTTCGAGCAAGGTGCTGGACGACACGCATGCAACAATCCCTACAACAAAGCAGCTGAGAACAAGGTCTTCCAAGAGATGCAGCAGAGCAAGCTTTTCCAGATCACTCATGCCAAATTCCTCGAGATTATCAAGCCATCTTTCTTGGCCATAGATGAGGATGAAGACTTTGATGCTATTCTGGCCAGGACCCACATCATTTTGTTGACAGACAACGGCGTCTACTACCGTCTTGCCAGCACTCCCTCTAAGCCAGTGGATGTCATCCCATGGGAACATCAGCGCAAAGATCTCTTGGGCCAGCCGCAGCACGCCATCTACAAGACCTACAAGTGCGGTCCTACCAATCATCGTCTTCCTCCGAACTTCTCCGCGGATATGGCTTGGTCGCAGGAGTTTTTGCGTCGTGTGCTTGCCGGCGAACCAGTCCCCGGAACTCCCACGATTCTGTGCAATGTTGGGCTTTTTGAAGATCGGGATGCCAGGCAGGGGCTATTTACGTAAAAGTGTTTAAAAAGTATTTGTTGCACTTGCTGCTTCATGATTGCGAACATAAGATATATATGCCGAAAGGCGTTCTGTGCCGGTTCATCCAGATCTACTTTCTGATGATGTTCTCCGTGCAAAAGTCAAGCAGGAGAAGGTGGACACCGCTTAACCGCATGCCCAGGGCCTCCAGTACCACAGACATCATTGATTTAGCTTCGCCTTCGCCATCACCGAAGAACGCACCTGGACAGAAAATGCAGCATTATCGTCCGCGGTACCTGTCGTTCCGAATCCCGACTTCGCACGTTACCACACGGCAGCTTCAGACATAGAGTGCGCACAATACTTTTAGGGTGTTGCTTGCGCTGTAGTTTCTATCATAACTGTCGAGTTGCAAGCACGCATTGTCATGTATATAAACTGTTTTACACTATGCATACTCTACTGTTTCCATTTACTTTTTGTGACATATATGTTAAAAACTGTACATCTACATCACAACTCTGGTTGTTGATTTCAGGCACGCGCTACGACGATGATGTGTTGGGGTAAGATGATTTGGAGAAGGATTTGGAACGCATCATGCAGTTCTAGCATCTTCTGACAGAGTGTATACGCGTAACAAAACTCATGTTTGTCTGTATGCCTTACCGACGTAAGTTTTGAACAGAATCTCTTTGCCTGTATCATGCGATACACGCACACACATCGCTCCGGTACAAGTTTTGATTTGCCTGCGGAGTTCCGAAAACATGAATTCAAGGGAGATCTGCTGACTCGAACGTTATAAGCTTTTCGTGTGTTGGTAGCTTGATTGCATCATCACACCGTCCAAGGTATCATGGCGGCATTGTGGCTGTCTCTCGGAATCTTATGTTTGTAAGCTATAGAGACCGAAAATACTTATCATACATAGTGCCCCTCCCCATCAAAGTTGTTGCGTATATAGCAATATGTTCAATAAAAACCAGAATTGCTAGGTACATAGGGGGGCCTATATATATATATATATTAACATTGTTATTTTTATTACATGTGTTTGTAATATTTGTTTTGATATACATATATATATATATATACATATGACCATACATATGTATGCATAGATGTATATGTATATGTATATGTATATGTATACGTATACGTATATGTATATATATATATATATATATGTATACGTATATGTAGATGTATATGTATATGTAAATGTAAATGTATAT